CATCCCCAAGAGGGAACTCCTCTTAAATATGGTGTAGACATAGACATTAAGAAAAATTGCATTATTACAAAATTGTCTAGCGCAGATCATCTTGTGTATCATAATTTGGAATAAAACTTTTCGGAATTAAAAATAGCATATAGCCAACGAAGCTAGAATTTATTTACATGTTGCAAATCCCAAGATGGAATCGCCAATGTCAGAGCAAAGAACTCAGTCACAGACTTCTGATGGTGGCCATTGCTTTTGTCAAGCTAGTATTTGTGAGAATTTCTCGTTGACCCACATACCGTGTTTACGAATGACTAACCAAAGGACCGTAGCCTTAATGTACAAGTTTTCTTATTTATTTTATATTATTTTCCTATGAATAATTTCGTTAAATAAGGGCAATATTCCAGAGGATTCAGAGTATCACAAACAACAAATGCGTAGGTTAGGTACTTGCCATGCATGATAAAGTGCTTTTTCATCTTTTAAGGGCTTTGTGCAATTGCAATATGAATAATTAAACATATACAAAATATACATTCGATAAAACAATGTGGCGTGTGACAAAAGTTCAACTTTTTTTACCTCACGTAAAAAGTTCTAAGTAATATTAAGGCTATCATAATAGTTTGAAATTTATTCTAATAAAACAATCCGTATAATTTTGTTAATTGAACTTGATTTACTAAAATAATGGAAAAACATTTTCTTCAAAATGCCCGCTTAATCCTAAATTTCAATGTAATATTGACGGAAATTGTAATACATCAACAATCAGGAACTTGTATCTCGCCTCCACAAAGAATGGCATTGACGTGCGCGCTTTTATTACCTAGCGAGTCGACCTCCAAGAACAACAATAAAAATATTTATAACTCCCAACTAAAAAAAATCGTTTTAATAATTTTATGAAGACACAGTATATAATCCTACTCATTTTATGAAAATCTTTTACGATTTTTATGGCAGCTCTTTATATGATGCGACCGCGCATATAATACTTATACAATAAAATTTTACAGTTAAGATGGGAAGAGACGTGTGCCCATAAAACTCGATCATATTTTACGCAAGCGCTTCATATTGCATGTTCTTAATTTGTCACAAAATTTTACCGCAACATATTAACAACCCCAATTCAAATACCAGAAGCCAATTCATCGATGCGACGTATTTCATAAATTGGACCATAACCCTAACTTAAAAATAATTCTTGAATCGTAAACACTTTCATTCGTTCTATGTTTAAAATTATCACTAATTTGATTTTATAACCACAGCAATACCAAATTTACCTATTTAACAAATTGCGTAGCGTAGCAAAGATGCCCAAAGTTTAGACAGCTTATGTCTGAATAACTAGCAATGCAAAGCAAACATGAATAACATAAAAAAGGAGATATTGGCATTAAAAATAGGTCTGCTGTATATAATTTAAAAATGTTATGTTGAAAACGTTCAAAATGAACAAAAAATAACTTTGCAAATCTAGTTCGTTATCTAAGTAAGTCTATTGCCAGTTGCATTATTATAATATGACGTCATCTCCAACGTCACAATTAAAACCTACGCATGTCCAATATTTATTTATAATATATTCGCAAGTATGAGGGGGCTGAGCTAATGGCTATTTTTCAAAGCTTGACTACACAAAGTAAGGTCGGACTTCAGAGAAAACAGAAAATAAGAGTTGCCACAAATTTGTCTCTCCCTATTGGGACATCCGCAACTGAAAGATTGTGATTTTGGTACTCAATACCGTTTTGAAAATTAAAAAAATCAAATATGAGATCAGATACTTGTTCTTAGGGTACTTTTATTTTGATTAACGTTTCCAGGAATAAATTTGTTGGGAAATTATTTTCGGATTCTTTATATCTCCTTTTTCATTTCTGTGAGAGGCATAGTTTTTTGAAATAAATAAAAGAAATTGTTAGTAATACAAATGTTTATCCGAAACAAATATTTTTCCAGTCGACTTTTTTTAACACAATATTGCGTTAACTCTCTTGGAAAAAAATATTTATTATAAATTCAACAATTCCCATTTTTCAAACCAAAAATTTACATGCCCATATAGAAACCACAAATTTATGATTTAAAAAGAAATATATTGTAAAGAACAAAAAAAAATTCTCTCTGTAAAGCCTAATGCTAACTATTCGAATAATAAATGGCTGGATGTCTCCAAATCTTTTTTTTTTCAAAACGGCTTTAATTGAAAACAAAGTTCACAACGTTGAGTCTACTAATCTAATTGACGATCTAATATCTAATATCGAGAAGCCAATTTTTAAAATGCTGTAAACAGAGAACAGATAGAAGTTCGAAATTGATTGAAATTGATCTTTTCTTTTAATTTGAACTTTTCCTGTATATTAGTATATCAATCAACCCCAATTTGATAAAAATTTAATTAAAAAATTGTCTAATTTGTATCAATGTCATCCTATCCTGTAAAGCCTAATGCTAACTAGTTGAATAATAAATGCCTGGATGTCTCCAAATCAATTTTTTTCAAAACGGCTTTAGTTGAAAACAAAATTCACAACGTTGAGTCTATTAATCGAATTGGTATCTCTTACTAAAAACAATATCGAGAAGCGAATTTTTAAAATGCTGTAAACAGAGAACAGATATAACTTCCAAATTGATCTTTTCTTTTAATTTGAACTTTTCCTGTATACTTATGTATGCTTATGGACTTATTACGAATGAAGGTGTGACTGATTTCTATCAACCCCTATTGAAATAGCAATCCACTGAAAATTCACAAAATATGAAGGGAACGCGATTTGTAAGAATTGGATAAAAATTTGATCAAAAAATTGTCTAATTTGTATCAATGTCATCCCATGGGTTGAACAAATTTATTGGTGTTTGTTACCTGATTTGCTGCCAGCGTGCACAATTAAACTTGCATTAAAAAACACCAAATTCTGTAACCAAAATCCGTCTAATTGAAGACTAACACACTGTAGTCACTTCACTGTAGTTGAAATTAAAAATTATATTAAATCAAGAACGATACTGCCGTTAACACGTTAAGGGGGGAACTATTTATAAAAAGTGGTCCGGTGCGCCTTATATGTATGCAAGTTTTTAATAATGCACATGGGTATTTCAGCAGCTTTGTTCTTTAATTAGAAAGTGTCACGCGTCAATATATTGAGCTTTTCTATACTGATATAAGAAAACAATGAATGAAAACTGGTGTGCTGCGGGCAACATGTGGGTCATACTTAAATGAAAATAAATATAAGGACAAACTTACAACGAATTAGGTTAGATTACTTAATCAATAGCAAGGTGTTCCCAAAATTATCAAATATCAACGTAATCAATTCAATAGTTCATTAGAGATTATTAGCGGTGAAATATTTCGAGAACTAATAGTCGTAGAGAAAAAATCTTTATTAAAATTGCCTTTTTGAAAACATTTCTTCCTCCCTGGAAACCTACTTAACGCTCTAGCACACCTTTGCTTTAGTGGTTGGTTGGAGGCTGATGTGGCTTGTGACTAAATAAACAACAATAAACCAACATTGTCTTCATTTTGCTTGTTCAAAGTTGATGAGAACTATCACAAATTTTCTTGCAAATGTTATCTACTTCTTAATTAATATACTACACAATATTAATTCTAAATCATACCCAACAAGAGTTTTACAAAAACTCCTGAATGAACGATGATTAGTTTTCTAGTTCAAACAACAAACCCTTTATTAAGTACGCTTAAAATTTATGAAGAAATTAATTGTGCCCCTACTGTTATTTTACAACCAACACGCAAAATTTTTCATAAAATACAATATGATGCTAATACGTCCCCTCGTAGAAGAGATGGAAACATAAAATATATTGCCAGTCATTTCTTTTGATCGTTTTTCGGAAAAGAATTTCGTGCGCTACTAGCTACTTTCTGAGACATGCCACCCGGTATAAATAGGTTTTGCGTCATTTATATTACCACGCCATCGCAATATTGATCTGCTGCAAACGTCAATCGTTAAAAATTAACAGTTTCAATTGGATTGTTCGGTAAGATGACATAAATGTGAATTTTATAATAGCCTTTGTGTCGCGTCAAAATCAATACGAATGGGAACATCATGAATTATGAACGCAGATGTTATATTTTCATCGTTTCATTCAACAATTGCGACGAGAGTAACGGTTTTAACTCCCACGTTTTTTTTTGAAATAGCCCAATACATAATTTAGAATTAACGACGATAAAAAAATCTGGAGTTCATTGTCCATTGCTGTTTGAGCAAAACAAACTGAATAATTTATATTATATAAAATATAATATAAAGAATATAATACCTAGTCAACTTGGGCAACAATTTGGTAAAAAATGTTGACGAATGTGGACGAAAAATATGCTTATCTTTGAATTTTAAACAAGTGACAAAGTTTACAAATAATTAATTTAATAACGAATATACTAAGTATACTTGAAAGACGCCTTTCGCTAAAGAACTTTTAGGCAGGTATAAAATGTTTCATTAAATAAATGAAAAGAAATTAGTAAAAATTACATAATATAAATAAGTAAAGTTTTCCTCAGGTAATGTTAGGAATGTAGTAAACTAATATAACAATTGCAATATTAAAGAAAAAAGTCATTGTCATTATTTTTGAATCTCAAATTTATGTTAAACTAAATCTACAGCAATTAGAAACGAATAAGTGCAAACCGAAACAAAGATTTGACTAACTTCGATTTAGACTAGTTTCATATTTTGTTAAAATAGACTTCATATTTTAGACGTCGGGTTTTTCTTTTATGCAGGAGTGCTTTCTAGTTGCTATTTACATACACATATTGTGAAATTTAGTGTACCTTTTATAGTATTATGCCACAAAGGAATTGAGTTACGACCCATATAGGTTGCATATGGCTCGCGACAAAAATCTAAATGATAGCACGACTTCGTATGCTACTGTACGTACGTACGTACATAATTTGTCAAAACAATAAGCACTCTTATGCGCGATTTTTATTTCATCATGCCTGAACACGAATAAAGAAGTTTATGGCTTTTCAAAATTACCGCTAACATTTCTGGGCACTCAATTAGGATTATACTTCTCAATGTTTTTAATTAAAAACTCCGCTAAAGCCATTACCGGCTCGGGCGGCCTTTCCTGTGCCAAATAACACAATCCGCTGAGCAATATCGGCACCACCGTTTGATCCAAATATTCTCTGGTGGGAAGAACACTTAAGTCGATCTGACTCTTTTTCCGCGCACTTTCTTGGTTTTCCATTCTCAAAGCAGCTTTTACGATTTTACAGTAAGTAGGGTTTCCGGCCAAATTGCAAACTTCCGCGGCGATTTCTTTCACGTCCAGGATTGTTTCGTGGTCATTTTTCACGATTTGTCCGTTAGATGCGTGATTTGGACCTTTCGGTACCTCGCCATTGCTTTCCATTTTTGTACTTTTCTACTTGACTTGACGGTTGATTTAATGTCCACTTTCTGACGTAAAGCAACAATTATATTCTATTTTAGTTTTCTAAACAAGAAATTACATTTTATCACATTGATGTTGTTAGTAAAAGTGTGTTGCTATAAAATCTCAAAATTCCATAAAACATTCCATAAGAAGGCGAACTAAAAAGCTATGGGCCCTAAATATTATTATATCCGCATCGTTAATATAATAATAACAAATCAATGCCTATTTGAAGAGCGTCCGTTCAACCCCAGGCGGCTTCAGTTTTTTCATAAAATATGAATCGATTAAAAATTTCGAGAATTACTTTTCAATTTTTATAGATTCGTTATATAAGAATCGCTCAACATTAGCAAAATTCAACTTTTTTTTTTCAAAGAAACTTTTGGATTCCTCCTACGTCGGTTTTTCTTGAGTTAAACTTGCTAACGTTTCGCCAATCGTCCTGTTGGTTTCTCCAAAGCTTTACTGAAACACTAAAACTAAAGGAACCAAAACTAACCAAAATATGCTGAGTTGAATATAAAGTTAATTGTGATCCAAGGTTTCATACTACAAACTGGCTACTATATAACAAATTGAGAAAAACTATTAATAACACATTCTTAAAAAAAATACATAACTAGAAACACAATGGAATAAACAAAACAATTAAACACCTAGACTGACTGGCAGCAGCATTTATATAACGATTTAACTAATAAAATGTTACCTGAAATACTTTCAGTTAAGCTCTGAAGAAGCCAACAGGATGGTTGGCGAAACGTTAGCAAGTTCGACAATTAAATTTGCATGTAAATATCCATCAAATTTAGACGGATCCAAAAGCTTTCATGTCTTTCTCGAAATTAATTATGGATGTATAGTTTTGTATGGAAGTATCTAATTTTGTGTTTCATATCTGAATTGCACAAGGATAATTTCAAGCAAATTTTCTACAACACTGATCTGAAATATGAGAGGCAAAACGCACGATAAACAGTCATTTTAGTTTTTTATGTTAACAGTATTTAAAACATTGAACTAATTAAAGGTAATATTTTATTAATTAAATTGTATATAAGTGCTGCTCCAGTCAGTCTAGGTATTGAATTGTTTTGTTTATTCCAATGTGCGTGTTCCTAGTTATGTATTTTTTTTAAAGAATATGTTATCAATAGCATTTCTAGTATGAAACCTTAGATCACAAATTACCTTTATATTCAACTCAGCATGTTTTGTAATGACGGTTAATAAAAAAAATATTTTGCAATTAATAGGTTTTTATGATCATATTAACTTAGCCTAACGTGAAATAAAGGTACAGTTAGAAAAAAAAAACAATATTGCGATTTTGCTAGGGTCTTTAAGTTATGAATCTTGATATTCTATATATAAAACCCCAAATAAAAATAACTTTCATTAGTATACACCTCTCGATCTACACCTGCGCTTGATGAGCGATTAACGAGAAACAATTCATAATTATCTAAAACGATTAACGATTCACAAACGTATCAGTCCATTTGTGTCGGTTAAATTTTAATCATTCGGACGACTCGGCCAGAAACGTATAACATACGATGCATAGTTTATAACTGCGATATTCGTAGTAAATTATGTAATTGCCGTAGGGTATATTTGATATAGTCTTTGAAGATCAAATAGGATATTAGCGTATTAGCTAATTTAATATTGCCGATTCGGTTAGGATTGTGGAATATTATAGGTATAATCACCCATTGATGTTGATACGCCTAAGTTTATTTGCGGGGAATGCCCGGCATAACATACATATAAGCTTGTTTGATTTATAGAGCACGAGAATAATTCAACGTTTTTTACAAACAGCACAAGTGAAATTTTACTCAATAAGAAGTCCCAAACCCAAATCCATCTTACCTGAAATTCGTTTTTACCCAACGGACTGTATCCATAAGATGCAACTTCAACACCTGAAAAAAAATGTTACATTGAAAAACACACGAGTATTTATCCGGTATTAATTTATTTAATTATAACATTAGTATTATCTTATCCCATCCATGCAGTAATGGAATATTATCCAACAAGTGAAAAGTGACGCGCCGTTAGAACTTACCACACGCTTGATCCGCGCTAATAATTTGAGTGTTTTAGAGCAAAAAGTAGAAAAAATTATTTTTTCTACTAGCTATATACTCTAAAAAACCCATTTATGCATCAAGCTTTTAAAAAGATTCATCCATTCGAAAATTGCATCGAACATCGTGGGTGCCATTAAAACCTTACCATCTATCTAAATCACTTTTTAAAACTAGAACGAAACTAATTTATCAAGTTTATTTAAGAATGTCTGTTAGGCAGAGGCATTTTTTCCTATGCTATTTTCGAACACGAGGCAATTATCATTATTAATAATTGTGTCGTCTTCCTCGTAGATAGGACTAGCAGTGGTGGATTCTCCAGATAACGAATTGACAATTACGGATACTTTCGGCTTCGTCGCTTTAAATAATCGAGTTATGTTGTACGGGGAATTTATGTCAAACCATAATCTATTTCGGTCCTTAAAATTAGAAAAACGTTCGAAATGTTTGAAGATTATGAATTTAAGATGGTTTGAGTATTTTTGCTTTTTAAAATGAACCAACCCATTTTTGGTGTAATTTAGCTTTATAAAAATTTATTTAAAAGTTATCAACATTTAATGGTAGGCGTGGACTTAGTGAAATGGCATGTTCTTAACAAATGTTCGCCTTCTTGTGCGAATCGATTCATTAATTAATTTAAAAAAAATCGTAGAATGGTTGACTTTTACAGCCTTTTATTTCCAATCAAAATCGGGTTTTCCGTCAGTTATTGTACCGAAAAATACACAAAACCTGCAGATATCGGCTTAAAACCTAACTTAGAAGATCACCTTTCCTATACATTTCCTTGATTTCGATCATATTCTAGTCAATAATGACTTTTGCGCAGTTTGTTGTAACGAAAAAATCATAAAAACTGCCAATATCGTCTTAAAACCTAACTTTCTAGATTAAATAACTGCCTTTCTTTGCCAATTTCAGAAGCGCTTGAAAAATGACTTTTCGGCGTCTTACTGTATTAATTATAAAATATTGAAATACGAAAAACTCTAAACTACCGATATATAATACCAGTTATCATTTGTATCCAGTGTTGGGCAAACTATGATTTTTATTAAAAATCATTGATTTAAAAGAAACATGATTTTTTTGGTTTTCTGATTTCATAAGAATATTTTATTTCTCGTTTTATATTGTAGCAATTACAAAATATTTTAAACCCACTATAAACAATACAGTACAATATACACACTAAGTATTCGTCAGAACGCGCTTTTTGCAAAAAATCTGTTTTTTTTCCCGATCTATAAGTTATCGTTGTCGCGAATATATTTAGTTGGTGGTTTGTCAAAGTGAAACTAGTGGAAAATGGAGCGTTAGGTGAAAACATTTAAATGGCTGGAAGAAAAAAAAACAACATATGGCAGTTTTACACTAAAACAACAGATCCAAAAAAATATAGAGATGTACAGCGATTTGTAAAATCTGCAAGAAAGAAATTTAAGGGATTGCACATCATTATGTTTGTGATAATAAGCAGCAATAAACGAATAGAGGTACGTAACTAATATTTTGTTTTATTATTGCTTACTTCATTTTTATTTAACTTTCCACCTCGTAAAAGGTAGAAGTATGGTATCCACAAAAACGTTTTTAAAAGAATTAAGACATTTATTATTTAAAAAATGCCATGTCCTTTTCGTCTTTTCTTGCCAATATTTTAGCAAATTAGATACTTATTTTTATTTTTTTGCGATATATTAAAAAGTATTTCGCAGTCATATCGAATAATTTATTTATCTTAACAACTGAACGTGGACTTACGAAACTATTGATACTTCACAATATTTGACTGAAATAGTTTGTGACCTAATTTCTTCACGTAAATTAAAATATAACTGCGAGGTAAAATCTTTTGTGACAGAACGCAGCAAATATGGCCCTCATGAGAAAAACTTTGGAGGAAAAGACGGACTCAAAAGTTATAACTTATGCACATATTTTGAATTTAATGTGCAAAGTCTCGTGGTTGATTTTTTTCTATTTTAACTATAAAAAAAGAAACCTATTTGAAGAATGCCAAATAAAATAATTAATATAACACATTTACTAAAAACACACACATTACTAAAAACGTTGGTGTGATTAACGAGGCCGTTCAGTATTGTTAATAACTTAATATTTTCAAAAATTGCGAAAACAGCACATATTCGATATCCCTTAGCCAACTAATTACATATTGCTTGCACAAATTGCGCAAGACTGGGGATAATTGTATCCTTATATTTTTTAAGTGACTAGGATTAGTTAAGAATTGTTATGAATATATACCGTATATTATCAATCTTCTCCATAAAATCGGACCGTTAATGCAAACAAAAGCCAGAACTTTTGAAACGTATCAATTAAATCGGGCTCTACATAATCCATCCCAAAATACGTTAGAGATTATTGTATAGAAAATTAATCACCAACAAAAGCTATCCGGGGAGATTTAATCAACAAACTTTTGAATGTTGGGCTTTAAAGTGATGCGAAACTGTTGGTTGTTAATATCCGATTAAACTAGTGCTATTATGCCCTTTCGGTTGCCCATTATATTGCGAAAAATATAAACGCAAATTATTAGGGTTTTACGTGAACGTATCGCGGTTTAGGGTTTACGTTTGCTATTATAATCAAACGATTTACGTACAAAACTCTAAACATAAAATCGAAAGCGTATGCTCGTCCGAGCCGATTTTACAGCTGAATCAGGGATTAGCTAATACATATGTCAATTTCGTTAGAATTAAAATATTCCAAGTTGAATAGGAGCTATTTTTCGATGGGTATCAACAGGATCCCGCCGATTCTTTGTCCGAATCAATTTTTGACCAATATAAGTAAAATTTTCCGTTTAAACATATTCATGTGATTAGAGGTAAAAGGTCATAATGCCCAATAATGCATAACGCATAGTGAAATAATAGGAAATTATTTTATATAAAAATAGAGTAATCGAAGGCATTATCGAAGGGCGTCGGCCATAATTAGTTATTTATTATCTATAAGCATTGATCAAAAGAGATAGATTGCTGGTAAGTTCACCCAAAATAAATGTTACGTGGGTCCCCAAACGCTTTAAAGCTTCATTTGGTCCCATTGATTGGGACATAAACTCACTAGAACGATTTTGGTTAAAAATGCTATTCTCATGAATAGTCGTCCGTCGTAAATTTAGGATTATTTATTGACAGCTATAAATTTCCTTCAAGGAAATTCTAACCAAAAATCCAACAACTGGAAAATACAGAATTTTAAAGTAATTTTGCAAATCTGCCAATGCTTATTAGAACCTCACATAAACAGGTCAATTTGGGGCTGCCAACTTAAATAAAACAGCAAACAAGGTTAGTAATTAATGTTAGGGGAGTTCAGAATAGTTTAAGTTCTAAGAAATATTATGCTATTTTACTATAGACTGAATCTCTAGGTCTTCAGTAATACATAATATAAGACACCGACTAGTTATACCCGTCACCGCAAAGAATTATTTAAAAGATCATATTCCATTTGCATTAGCTCTATTACTAATGTTGATATTTATCACTCCAACTCGACGTTTAGGAATAATTTCAAAAAGCAGTTGTTACGTACGCACTAATATTAAGCGCTTCTAAAAAACATGTGCCCCTTTCCTTTCCTTTCCTTCCCCCTCCATTTCTTCTCTTTTCTTTTCTTTAGAATTATGTGTATCTACGCTTGGCGCTTTCAAATAAATTCTATGAAATTTTTTATTATTATAGTTTCGCTGTTAAATTGAGGCCTGAACAGTATCTAGAACTCCTAGATGGCTGCCCTAACAAGACCTATTGTTGACCATTATTTCACTTATTTAACTTTGGTTATAACAATAAATGTATTATTATTATTATTATAATTATTCTTCTATTATTTGTATGTAATTTTGATCAAAGTGGTTTGCTAGATGCCGAGTTTCATATTGTTAATAACTAATATTGAACTGAGGTGGCTCTTACTTGATGAAAATCCATTAATCAAAATAAATAAGAACTAAAAGTTCAGATTTTCACGAAATTATATATCAATAATCAAATATATATCAAATAATAAAAAAATGATAAAGACACGATGTTTTCGAAATAATTGTCATGTCAAAATATATAATTTCGTGAAAATCTGAACTTTTAGTTCTTATTTATTTTAATAACTAATATTGAAAAAAAAAACAAAATAAAAAGTAACACCTATATTTTGAAGAAAAAATCCTATAAGAAAACGCCACACTGGGGATACATATCACCCATCAATATTGTCAAGCTACATCCTAGCACAAAGACGATTCAGTAATTTGGAAAACAGAACTAATAGCCTGAACCAAAAATTATTTAAAAATATCCAAGCAAAGCAAATCTTGCTAAGTCAATAGCAAATCTATAGCCTCGTTTTATACAACTAATGAAACCCCCGAAAAAATCAACAAGTGCTAACTTTGTTCTGATCAAGAAGCACATAAGTAATATATCAAGGAAAATGCCATGGGCATCTACTCCCAATGCATTACACGAATTCATGTAAAATAATTTTACGTAATAATAAAATTCTACCAGATTATAATAGTCGCTATATGATCAATACGAATATTGTTACAATCTGATTCCATTATATATGGCAGCGTCGCAAGTATTACGACCTAGATCCTGGATCCGGTCCTGCAACCATGGTGGTCTGTTCGACGAAGAATGAAGTACAACTGTTGAAATAAGTTGAGTTATATCATAGGAAAATGTTTATACCATTAGTGGTAACTTATTATTGAAAGTGACCATCAAAAACCATGAATTCTGAATAATAGCGAAGGAACCATCGATACGTCTGCG